TGAGGTCATTCTGCTTTTTCTCTTGTCCTTTGTGGTCCGGTTGACCAGGTCAGTAGTTTTAGGTTATGGGTGTCAGAGGAAGAAGATAACTGATTATGAGAGTTTTCTTGTTCTGCTACAGCTCAATTAATAGCAGATTGATGTAGAGTAACAAGTAGGCATTCGATGACTCTGATAACTAATGCAGTGCCAAGTTAGGAACAGTTGAGTTAAGGATAAAGGTGTGGTCTTGATGGGCAAGAATTTGACCAGAGCTGACAATGAAGACTAATAAAGTTTTCACAGATGCAGACAGAAACTTTTTGTCTATTGTTTGCTTTGCAGTAGATGCTTTGAATGTCACTGGAACAGTTAGTTTTATCTAGATGGATGATCTGGTAGATGGTGACCATCCCAAATTTGTATTGCAAGAGGCTCTTCAAAATAAAAGCCAATTACAATAATGAAGTAGAGGACACAAATTTCACTTACTGTCATTTGAAATTGTTTAAGCTTAAGCAGTAGGAAAGGGCAGGTATGTAAAAACAATGAAGCATACCAAAAGTATCCTACAAGATGGTCTCATTTGTGAAAATGTATCTAATACAACTCTTAATGAGGAAGACGGGTTTGATTGCTGAATGATTTGATATGTGTCTAATTTTATCTTATCAAAGTAATTTGAAAATACTCATTTCCAGCAATTAGTGTGAAAAATTAAGTGAATTGACACTGTAAAATTTGTAGATTGATTGCAAAGCAGGTGCTTCTAATGAAGTGATGATTTAGGGAATGGCCAGTTTCACTGTTATCTTCCACAACTGTGGTCATGGCAGAAATTGATTCCACATGTAACAAGCTTAGTACATTGTTTTTAATTTGAGGGGACCTAGGCTATAAGCGATGAGGGACATCTCAGCTGATTTGGGGAGGGCTTTTTTCAGCTGATTAGGGTCACATTTTCTTGCGGTTTCATCAGGGTCTGCCTAATCTTGTCTGGATCAGGATGGCATGACCCTATGATGCCACTCCTGGGGGCCATTTGTAGAGATTTTTCTTTGGTACCAGTCTTGTGACCAGGGCATTGAGAGGACACATACATATTGCATGTTGTATTATATTAGAGTTGTGACCTCTGATATATATCAGTGTTAACTTCTGGGTTTTCTGCAGGATCTTAAAGCTTAAGATTGTTGAGATCAGATAGATAATTACAAGGAGTTATATACTTGCTGATGTAATAGGAAAATACCACATATCAGTTTTCCTTTTCTCAAGATAGTTTTAATAATTCTGTCAAGAATTTTCTGAAAACGCCATTGTTCTATATAACAACACCCCCTCCCCCCCTCCTCTCCCAAACTTCCAAGTATGCTTTCTTCATAGAAAGTTGCAAAGATTAATTCAAAATTAGCAAGAGACCAATATTGACTGATTGTTATCAATAGAATTGATAGATAAATTCAGTAAAAAGACAACTGATATGAGGAAAAATTCCCAATTGGAAAGTATCAAAGTGACTAAAAATCCATTTGTACCAAAGAAATACCTATTCTCAGCACACAGGATTGTCCCATCAGAGACAACACATTTATCTTTCTGTGGGTCTTCAAATCTGTATCAGTTACACAAGCTATTAACCACAGATTAAGAAGTCCCTATGGAGGTCTCTACTGATTTTAGGGTCACCCTTCCTTTGATGACTGTCCAGTAGTGAATTCTTGTCTATCAAGCAAAACATGAGTGATTCCCCGCACTTGCTTCCATTCCTGTAATCTGCAATATGTAGAATTCCCTGTTGTACATGTAATTAATGATGTAGTCAATCAAGATTATCATTGATTAATTGTGTCTCTCAACTTCATTTCAAGGTGTTGTTTTCTGAACTCTTTTTCTTACTTTCTCCTCAGTTAATTTGTTACAACACTAAGATATCAATAGTTTTGAAGGTAAATTTCAGGGGAGCTAAAATTTTTAAATTTATAAATCAAAGTGTAAATTACTTGCTCCATTATTAGCAAAATTAACTTTGCAACAGGTTTGATATTTTGCAAATCAATCCTAAATCCTTGAAATTAAGTGCATGTCATTTAAGTGGTATTTGGTGACCAACTTACAAGATTTTTATAACATATTAACCCTGCTCTCTTCTCTTAAAATGTATATGTACCCACATTAGGATAAATTTCTAAGATTATACATGTGATATAGGAAAGTGCTCTAGCTTAACATACCATAGAAGGAAAACTGAATAGCTTAATATATACATGTAAAGGGTCAGTTAGATGCAGGAAAGGTTGTTGACTTCTTATTAGGAGGTATTTTCCCTGGGGCCAGGTATGTAAGACATAAAACCTGTCCTCAAGGTCTGGCATGCTATTGGGAGGTCAGGTATAAGTACAGTATAGACGATGCTAATACCAGTGGACAGGTGACATCCTGGAAACCAGTTGAGCGGGAACCATTCAAACTTCACAATAATCAGCAGCCAGATTCTGGGTCTGTCCTGTTCAAATATTTGTATTTTAAAGATGACCATTTGTATTGGACGAGAGTGACATAGATACCTAGGGTCAGGAGGCTTTAAGGAGAAGTGAATCACTCACAGTATATTTAGCCTGATGAATGCGATTTAATGGGAAGACAAGAATGTCGTACCTCACAAATAATGCTCTGGCAAACAAAAACACTGCATAATATGTGTGACCAATGTAAGAACGGTTATCTTTGGCTAATATTTGTGGAAATGATAGGAAATATACAGTCTGGTCAAGATATGTCTCACCAGCTTTGTGAGAATTAAAACCATTCATTACGGTAAATTTCACAGAACAGACTAGTTGTCCTATTCAAAAAATTAAACTATTATTAATATATTTAAAATTGAATTATGAGTTGTAAATATTGACTGACTTTGACTTCCTTCTGGAAATATCTTCATAGCAAGTTCTTTATTTTTATCAATAACCTAGTTATATGTTTAGCAATGGATGCATTTTGTTTGCATACTGCATAAAGATTTATTGATAATGTTTGCATTGCGCAAAATGTTTTTCCTAAGTCCTGTTCAAGTGCTCTTCTCTTGATTACCTCATGAACCAGACATTTTCAGGTGATGTTCTTCAATTTGTTCTAAATGAGTGCTTTTAGAACATTCAAAAGTGGTTGCTATTGAACTTCTTGAATATTTCTGGAAAGCATTTCTTTTCTGGAAAGGATGCGTTTCTATAAATAAATTCCAATTTTGTCCATTGGAAATCTGAAATTATTTCCGTTTACAAAGATGAAAAGGAATATTTCTTCTACCTCAAGAGCACTGTCTGCTCATACCATATTACGTCACTGTATTTAGAAGTCCTTTCTATGGATGTCTGAGGGGAAAAATTAGAAACTCTTCTAGTTAGTTCTCTAGGAAGAATTACAGCAATTCTTGTTTTCAAGAAATAAAATTCAAATAGACTCAGGTTGGGTTTTGTCTTGGCTGCCAAATATATGATTTATGAGTAGATTTGTTAGATTCTTTTGTTTAAAGAAGCAGTAAAATCAACAGACATTTATCTTTTAAAAATGTATACCCAAATTTAAGATTCATTTTTCAATCATCTAAATTGTTTCTGTCAAAGAAACTTGAATTAAGGACTTTGTTGGTATGCACAGAAGGGAACAATTTATCATGACACCCATGACATCATCATTTATTGCCTACATAATAAAATGACATAATTTAACAGATTTAAACAACTTTGCAACCAGTTTTATTTCTTGTTTTACAGTTTTAACCTCTGTACATATTACACAGTTACAGTATGCTCTGTAATCATTGCTCATAACATAGCTTTGTACATGTTAAACTGGCCAATAAAGGTGACAGGTTGGTTCTAGCAAAGTGTAATGACCATTACAAATCATGACGCAACACCGACAGATTGTATTGGAAAACAAATCATTAGGGAAGACATTCAATTTAATGAAACAGAGAATTGGGTTATTTCATCTTGTATGAGCAGGTAAGATTTATACCCCCCAATTCTGCTGATTTTAATGAGGAATCCACTTGGGTAAGTTGGTTTAAGTAATCACTACGAGGGGCATCCAGCTGGGGAGATCTTATTGTGTCTCCAGTCAAACCTCAGATGGTAACAGCTTGTGGAAAGCGAGTATACTGGGCTCTCTAAGATAGATGGCTGATAGGCTTTGTCCCTGTAATTGAACGATCTCCTCCTTGTCACATACCAGAGAAATCGTCTATATGGTCCAGAGGGTCATCCAGTTTACCTACATGAAAGTTTTGATATCATATTTTAATAATCAGACTAAAGAATTTTTTTCTGTGTAGAACACCCTGAGCAATAAATTCCAGGAACACTTAGTTCAATCAGCATTAAGATCTGATGAAGAATGTTTAATATGATTTGGAATGAAAATTTGTACTTTTAATGTATAAAGGGTAGATTTGGAGAGAACTTGATATGATATGGGTTCATATTTAACTTGACATCCATATTTTAATCCATTTCTGTGATGTATATTTATATGCCTTTTAAAAAGGAATTAAATATGAGAGTATAGTGATCTTCAAGTTAAATATACATCTTTTTCATTGTTATTTTAGTATATTAAGTATATGATTTTAAAATCATGCAGCATTTTTGCATTTCAGTCCATTGAGATATGGACCAAATTTGCATGGAAAGCACATCCTAAGAATGGATACTTCCTATTATTGCAAATATTGCATTTTGCTAAGACTGATAATATTTCAAGAAGAGTTTTATAGAATAGGTCGAGATTATAATCACTAAAGCTCGTACCTGAACCAAAGTTAATTGATGGGGCATTAAAGAATATATCAGACAGCTTCAGAAGCTGGAAGTGATCTTTTTCAGATGGAAGCCAATTGGACATGTGCAACAAAAAAAATAAAAAATAAAAAAGAATCCTGCAATATTCCTTTTAAGATTTATGTTCATTAAGATAAATAGATACTGCCAGAGGAACCCCTACAAAAACAAATCCCACTTTTGGGAATGATTGAAGGATATCCCTGGAAGTCCCAAGATTTCCTTCTCAAGTCTCACTTCTCCCATGTCTTAATGAATAGGGATAATTCAGGACTTAGTGTTCCTGCATTTGTCCTGGAATAACCCACTTACTTCAAGTGTGACTGTACAGGAATTTGTAGGACATGTTCATTACCCAAATGTCCTGTAAAATCCCACTGCCACTGTTGCAGGTTTTTGCAGGACTTTTTTCTGTTTTTCAGGACTTAATACTGAAATTAAGAGACAAATATTGTCCTACAAATTCCCATAAAGTCTCACACTTGATATAAAAAGGACATTCCAGGACTTTACATTGCTTTCCAGGACTTATAAATGAGAATATGTCCAGAGAAAAGTCTTGCAATATCCCTAAAAATCTTTTAAGTTTTGAAATTGGATTATAAAGGACTTTGGATACAGTAACAGCACTTTTTGCTATTAATATATGTACAGATTTGAAGCCTCACATTTGCATAAAACGTTTTATTGATATTGTAGATAGCACCATAGTTCAGATAAACAAATTATAAAGAAAGTGAATTCTGTCCTATACTCAGCACTCGGGTTCCATTTATTTCCAGTTTCACTTTTATATCTAAAATTCCCGCCGACTGTGTCATTCATTGATGGTTTGAAATAAAATCGGGTTTGATGTACACCTAATTCCTAAAGAATCATTTAAACGTTTGAAATAGCATATGTTAATCAAAGTCTTTTACGAGCGTCTTGCTGATTACGATGCCATACACTTGGCGGGTTCTCCATTGATGATGAAAACAAGAAAGTTTTTCAAATGAGAATTAAAGCATTGACAACCAAAACACACCAGATGCACATTTGAACTGTGGAGCATGTGTCCAAATGGTTGGGGGTAAGTTTTGAGACATTGATAAAAACTTTCTGTTAAAGTTATTCAGTGTTTGGCATTCTGATATGTGTATTTTTTTTTCTTTTAAAGATTTTTACATTCTAGATTTAATGTAATCACATATGGTACATAACAAGTTGATAAATTCGCGGTAAAATTTTATTTTACAATGATCTTGTGTGATGGGTCAGTGACCCCTTACAAGTAAAGAAGTAGAAGTAGATCGTGTCTAACTATATATCAGGGACATAACATGATGATTAAAATATTTTAGATACGAGTCCATGTCAAATCGGTCAAAGTGAAATGACAGCTAATTTGGAGTTGCACATATCCTGTGGAAAGGTAAGGGATAGAAAGAAGTGGACAATTTAATCATGTTAATTAATACTTTTAGTGCAAAATGGACAGTCAAAGAATAATTTTAAAATATTATGTATCTTAAATTCATTTAGAAAATAGAAAAGAAAAAAATCTCATGTAATTTTTTTTAATTTTCTACTTTCTACCATTTACTACTTGTATTTGATTGTCTAATAAAGTATCATGAAGGATTTTTTTTATTGCAGTTTGATTTCTTGGCAGATATCCAGCCATTTTCGAAGAGTTCAGAAGACTTTCATGATGACTTTGCTATTGTTAATCAAAAAGTTCAGCTGACAAATTTCCATTTTGAACCTCACAAATGTGTTATCCGTTTATCCTAAGAAAACATTGTCAAATTAGCTATCAACCCCATTGCTTTTTTAGCTCACCTGAGCCAAAGGCTCAAGTGAGCTTTTCTGATCACAATCTGTCCGTTGTCTGTCGTCGTCGTCGTTGTTGTCGTTGTTGTCGTTGTTGTTGTCGTCGTCGTCGTAAACTTTTCACATTTTCATCTTCTTCTCAAGAACCACTGGGCCAATTTCAACCAAACTTGGCACAAAGTATCCTTGGGTAAAGGGGATTCAAGTTTGTTCAAATGAAGGGCCACGCCCTTTTCCAAGGGGAGATAATCATGAATTTGTTAAAAATTAATGGCATTTTTAAAAAATCTTCTTCTACCGCTGGGCCAGGAAAGATGAAACTCATGTGGAAGCATCTTCAGGTAGTGTAGATTCAAGTTTGTTCAAATCATAACCCCCGGAGCAAGGGTGGGGCCAAAATGGCCGACCCAAGTTTTACATAGGAATATATAGGAAAATTCTTTAAAAATCTTCTTCTCAAGAACCACTGGGCTAGGAAAAATGAAAATCATGTGGAATCATCCTGAGGTAGTGTAGATTCAAGTTTGTTCAAATCATGACCCCCGGGGCAAGGGTGGGGCCAAAATGGCCGACCCAAGTTTTACATAGGAATATATAGGAAAAATCTTTAAAAATCTTCTTCTCAAGAACCACTGGGCTAGGAAAAATGAAAATCATGTGGAATCATCCTGAAGTAGTGTAGATATATATGACCCCCAGGGCAAGGGTGGGGCCAAAATGGCCGACCCAAGTTTTACAAAGGAATATTTAGGAAAAATCTTTAAAAAATCTTCTTCTCCAGAACCACTGGGCCAGGAAAGATGAAACTCATGTGGAATCATCCTGAGGTAGTGTAGATTCAAATTTGTTAAAATCATGACCCCCGGGGCTAGGGCGGGGCCGAAATGGCCGACCCAAGTTTTACATAGGAAGATATAGGAAAAATCTTTAAAAATCTTCTTCTCAAGAACCATTAAGACAGGAAAGATAAAACTCATGTGAAATTATCCTCAGGTAGTGAAGATTCAGGTTTGTTCCAATCATGACTCCTGGGGCAAGGGTGGGGCCAAAATGGCCGACCCAAGTTTTACATAGGAATATATTGGGAAACCAATATATTTAAAATCTTCTTTTCAAGTACTTCAAAGCCATGATTAGTGATATTTATATGGAATCAACCTAAGGTAGTGTAGATTCTAGTTCAAATCATGAACTTGTGGGGGGTTAAAATTCAAGCCCCCCCCCCCCCCCCACCACCACCACCACCACCACCACCACCATCACCTCAGTAAACTTTCAGTTCTGATCTGATATGTGCTTTTTCCTAGCTGATGTTCTCAGGTGAGCGCTGTGGCCCTTGGGCCTCTTGTTTAACTTCTCTGTTAAATCATAATATACATGTAGCTTAAAACATTTCTATTATGACTTTTATAAATTTGATACAATAGATAGATGATTACTTGAAGACCTGTGTAAAAATTTTAATAAGCAGTGTGGTTTTTCTGTCATCTGCGTTTATCCAACATTATTGTTGCGGTAACAAATTTAAATTATAATATTATATTGATTTGCTTTGTGCAAGTGTGATTAACCACAGTAGGATAACTCATGCAGTTGTGTCTTTTTATCCGTATCTGAAATCCTAATTCATTATAAACAAAATTGTACTGTGTTTTCTTCCGTTTTTCAACATTTAAATGGAAAAAAAATCATACCATTTTTTGGTTTTATTTTTATTATGGTTCCGATTCAACAAATTTTCATTTTTTATTTTTATTTTATTTTCGTCCGACGACCCAACCTTTTCTTAAAAATTCCCCTTAAACAGAAAATAGAAAAACTCTGGCCTTATTAATAAGCACTTGGGGATCTTTATCATGCTGGCACCTACTGCGACACGGGGACCTCGGTTTATACAGTCATCCACAGGACTGATCTCTACATCCCAGTGGGATTCAAAAGCGTAATGTAAGGATCAACACCTTCCTTCGCAACTCTAAAGCAGATGCTGTATTCAAGGCACAACGTGGGTAAAGTATTCAGTATTGTTAAGTTCAGATTCCTATTTTTATATGCAGACTCAGCAGATTTACTCTGTAGCTTTTTTTCATTTATGCAAGAAAATATTCCAAAACTGTTTAGTTCCACACAAAAATACCTCGTTTACTCGCGTTCTTATTGACAGCTTTCCACTTTGTTTGTATTGAACAAATTGTCGAGGAGTAAATATCCTATTTTAAAAATTAATATTTTATGCTTTTAAAGTTGGTATATTGTGAAAAATTGTGACAATAAGAATAGTGAATGTCAATACATTGTGTATGTTAAGAGAATTATACTGAGCTTAGATTTCATTAAGAAATCTGCACTACATATACATGTAACAGTTTTGAATGAATATGTATTCCACATAGGAATTGCTAATTTTAAAAGTATCCAATTATTGTTACTACTTTTACTTTGTATGCAAAATAAATTTTATGTCCATTTTAATATCATTTATATTTATAATTTTTTGATTTATAGACATTATCCAACATCTTTATAATCTCAGTTAGTAAGATAGACTGGGATTTTCCAGGAGTCATTACATCAACCCAAAAGCAGGATTTTTAGGGATGTCCCATAAAATCCTGCAAATTCCTAGCTGCTGATACTGTCCTGCTTACTGGGACTTTCCATGATAATCCCACATTATCCCCCTTCAGAACGCAGGATTAAGTGGGACTTTGCAAGAATTCAAAGGGCAGAATTTATTATGTTCAACTGGTCCCTAAAATTCTTGAAAAGTCACACTGCCAATACCGTCCCTCTTATTCCTTGTTAATCTGGCCTCAAAGAACCAGGACTTTTCAGGACAATCCTGATAAATCCTGGAACTTTGTCTCAGGACTTCCTGGGATATCCTGCTGAATTTTCAGAGAGGCAGTGAGAATGGGTTTTTAAGATTTGCTATTTAAAATCAGTCTATATCTTTATTGATGTATCAGTCCATTTTTCAATTTTTTACACCCTTCATCTTCTCTATGAGTTTTACCTTGTGAATTAAACTTGCGTAATGGCTCAGTTTAAAAAAAAAGATAATTTTTTAGCAAATTTTATTTGCTGATACAAACTAGGTAAAGATTTTCAACATTGTCAAAAATTGACCTTGACCCTCTTTTGACATTGACGACATTCTTTAAATTTTCATTAAACAAAGTTTCAAAGAAACTGTTTAAAATATTTTTATCAAATTTTATAATATGTTGATTTATTTTGCTTAGAGCTGTCCAGATGTATGATATTCTTTTACCTTGACCTCCTTTTTGCTAAGAAACTATTTAATATATTTTTATCCAATATAATAGTTGATGTTCATATATATGAAGAAGATAAATTTTACTGCAACTTTTTCTTTTGGTCCTGACATTTCTTATGACCTTGAAGTTCTTTTCTTTTCTTTTTTTGCATTAATCTGATTTCAAAAGAAGCATCTATTGTAACACATAGATACATTTTATACTGATGGATATTTTAAGAGCTATTCATTGATATTAAAAATTGTTGCCTTTGATCTTTACTATAACCTTGACCTTTACTGTGTTATTTTTGCATTTAGCCAGTTAAGTTTAAAAGAAAGTATTTAAGATATTTTTTCTAAACACATATATCAATACATATTGGCAAAAACTATTCAACTGTGTCAAAAATGTTTGACCTTGACCCAGCTTTTCTCTATTTTGCATTGAGCTCACTTTCAAAGAAAGGATTTTTTATGAAGACACATTCATTGGTTCATAATTTGCATAGAAATTATCAACCTATGTTTCACCTTGACCTCCCTATTGAAATTTGTCTTTACTTTCTTGTGCTTAAAAAATTCAGCTTAAAAGAAACTATGCATATTTTCATCAAACTTCATGTACCTAACATAAATCAGTGAGAGCTATTCAACTCTGTCATAATTTTCTGACTTCAACCTTATCTGTGACCTTATCCTTAGTATTACTTGTGAACCTCAATTTTGATTGAAGAAACAAGGAATATTTCTTTTCATTATGCAACACTAGTAGTGGACCTTAGACATATTTTTAGTTTCTTTGTGTTACTGACCCGTGATGTTAGAAAGAGATATTCCAGCATTGTAGGAGACTCTTTATTGTCAGGAAGAATGCTTTCAATAAAACTAGAATTTCTTTTATAAAATGTCTTTTTTTGTAATAACACTCCATTTTTCACACCACCACCTCTGGTCTGAACAAAGAAATAAATCTCGATCTTTAAAACTAAATCTCAGAAATTTCTCAAATAAATTTAAAGAAATGGAGTTAACTTAGGCCAGGACTAAAATAGTAGTTCCACTGCACTGAGACAGACATTTGAAGTGATGATGTGAAAAAGTAGTCTGCATAATTAATCCATAATAGCTAATGTACATTCTTACCTTTTTATACATTTTTTGCATGTCATTATGACCTTCAAAATGGATTAAATTTAAGTAGTGGTAGGTAACAAAAATTGTAAAATGCATAAATGGTATAATCTTTCAAGAATTCAGATACTAATCTGTTTCTGTAATCAAATGTCAAAAGAATTAGAGTAATGAGGACTGCAGGATATGTTTTTCAATTAAGACTTTCTAGAGAAGTCATCTAACCCTTCAACAAAGGATCCCTCTTAATGAGCCTGGTCAACTGATGGGACAGCATAGAAAAATCTGGCCTGGGGAACTTATACTCTGATTGGTTAAGGTTGAGAAGTAACAAAAATCATCAGATAGTAACAAACATTTGTTACCAAAACTGTCAACTTTGACCAAAACTAACAGAGAAGGTCTCGAGCACCATGGAGCGGAGATATGTCCAAGTCAATAGTGCAGATCCCCCTATAGGGCTGTCTTTTGATTCTGTGTATTGGAGCTTACACATTGTACCCAGCTAACATTGCCTGATTAGAGACCCCATATGGTGACATTTCACTCCATCTTTCACAGCAGTTTAA